CAGAAATTATGGCATATCATTTCCAATATTTTTTTGAAGTTGCCTAGCACTAGGTGACTTTCTGAAAAAAATATTGGCGAAGATATCCCATAATTTCTGATATATTTTGTATATACTTGGTATATACTTTAAGCAAAAAGATCATAATTTCTGCATATATTTCTATGTATATTTCCATATACTGCTATTTTCTGTGGCAAATCATATGAAATTGGCTATGCCCGTTCAGTTTCAATTTTTAGCCGCCATGGCAGACTCTAATAAGCTTGTACAGAGAGAAGCTTGCCTATATTTTCCACAACATCTTTGTAGATAAAGACTACCTAGGGTGACATTTCTTACTTTAAATTAAAAATTCAGCAGGCGTTTGTATTAACGTTTAAGGCAAGATAAGAATAAAATACATTCATGATGCTCAGCGGTTGCCTTAATTTGTCCACACGACAATCAGCCAATCAGACATTAGTTCATGCGATGTCCAATAAATGTCCCTTATTTCAGATATCGCTTGTATTAGATTCAAAGAGGACGTTAAAATAATCGAGAATTAGCATCACATCTGATTTAAAAGACCAATTTCCCCCTGCTGATATTTGATTGCTTGGAGAAACGCGACTAAGTCCTACTTCAAGTGTCATTATAAAAAACAATTTGGTGCTCAAACTGCGCGAATATAAATAATATGCTGTGTATGAGTTCGTCACCACAGTTGTCACAGTATAAGATGATTATTTGAACAAGTTGCACGTTTTTTTTCAGGGTATTGGGCTGATTTATGGACTGAAATGCGAACGTGGATCCGAAATCTGCCGCGACGCCATTTTGTACAGCAAGGCATGATGGGAGTTGTAGTCGTTGGACATTTTTTAGCCTCTCTCCTTAAAAGCAAATTTAGTTTATTACGATGTAAGCGCTACTTCAACCTAAAAGATATTTTTTGTAAAATGTAACGTTTTTTCATTCAGTCTTGATAATGGCTCGGTGAGCCGAAAGCTCGACGAAAATAAATAACTTTTAGGTTGAAGTAGCGCTTACATCGTAATGAATAGACCAACCTACAACCATTTATTTGATCAAATTTAGTTTGTCTGTTTGCTGTTGCTGTTGCTTTTTTACTACTCTATTTTTGAAAGAAGAAGCATAAAAAGAGATGATGCATATATGGACTGTTTTTTAATTGGGACATAAGAAAGTGAAAGAGCCACAACTCCATTCACGCTTTGTTTACAAAGTGATGGCATCGCTGCAGATAACTAAAGCGAATAAGGACCGAACTTCAGTGATCTGATGATAAACCTGTAGGATAGTTGTGGCAAAATACTAGTAATATCGTTTAGAGATTATTAGGTATTTTATTTCGGGTTATTTTTATTTCAATTGTATTTTACAAACTACTGAATTCTGAAAATACGTAACGAATGATAAACGTTCATGATTGCCGTTGTTAGGGACTACTACTCCTGTCATCCGCGGTGGTGTCTTCAGACAGAGACCATTGCTTGGCCATTAAAACGAATTTTGCTGATTTGTCGATCTGTGGAATAAATGCAAACATGTTTTTTTTTAATCAACAGCTATTGAAAAGAATTATAAAGCCACGATTCTGGAAAATCTCTACCTTTTTTTTACCAAAATTTAATATGCAATATTCGCTGACAGCAATTTACAACTTAAAGAGCGTCACACTAAGTGTGGCACCCAAGATAGTTAATAATTTGATGGGTTTTTTTCCTGTCTTACAAACGATCCTCGTATCTCATTTTCTTGTAAGTTCCAATATCACAGTGGCCCGCGAAAAAAAAAAACTTTAATTTGTTCCCTTTTTTACTCGACTAAGTTACTTGATTTTTGTTTTGTTTATGTTTTTTAATTTCTTATCGTCAAAAGGCTCGGAAACAATATTACAAGTCAAATACATTGTAACCGAGCAGTTAACAAAGATTGATACGTTGATAATATGTTTATTCATTATTTTCCAAGTGACCAACTGGTGGCGTCGCTTGAGTAACTTGTTCTAGTCAGTGAAGATTTTAGGATTACCCCATCAAAGACTAGAAACAATGTATGGGANTCAAGTGTCAATATAAAAAACAATTTGGTGCTCAAACTGCGCGAATATAAATAATATGTATGAGTTGTGTATGAGTTCGTCACCACAGTAGTCACAGTATAAGATGATTATTTGAACAAGTTGCACGTTTTTTTTCAGGGTATTGGGCTGATTTATGGACTGAAATGCGAACGTGGATCCGAAATCTACCGCGACGCCAGTTTGTACAGCAAGGCATGATGGGAGTTGTAGTCGTTGGACATTTTTTAGCCTCTCTCCTTAAAAGCAAATTTAGTTTGTCTGTTTGATGTTGTTGTTGCTTTTTTACTGCTCTGAATAAGAAGCATAAAAAGAGATGATGCATATATGGACTGTTTTTTAATTGGGACGTAAGAAAGTGAAAGAGCCACAACTCCATTCACGCTTTGTTTACAAAGTGATGGCATCGCTGCACATAACTAAGCGAATAAGGACCGAACTTCAGCGATCTGATGATAAACCTGTAGGATAGTTGTGGCAAAATAATATCGTTCAGAGATTATTAAGTATTCTATTTCGGGTTCTTTTTATTTCAAATATATTCTACAAACTACTGAATTCTGAAAATACGTAACGAATGATAAACGTTCATGATTGCCGTTGTTAGGGACTACTCCTGTCATCCGGTGGTGCCTTCAGACAGAGACCATTGCTTTGCCATTAAAACGAATTTTGCTGATTTGTCGATCTGTGGAATAAATGCAAACATGTTTTTTTTTAATCAACAGCTGTTGAAAAGAATTATAAAGCCACGATTCTGGAATCTCTCTACCTTTTTTACCAAAATTTAATATACAATATTCGCTGAAAACAATTTACAACTTAAAGAGCGTCACACTAAGTGTGGCACCCAAGATAGTGAATAATTTTATGGGTTTGTTTTCTGTCTTACAAACGATCCTCGTATCTCATTTTCTTGTATCTTCCAATATCAGTCGCGCGCGAAGAAAAAACTTTAATTTGTTCCCTTTTTTACTCGACTAAGTTTCTTGATTTTTGTTTTGTTWATGTTTTTTAATTTCTTATCGTCAAAAGGCTCGGAAACAATATTACAAGTCAAATACATTGTAACCGAGCAGTTAACAAAGATTGATACGTTGATAATATTATATGTTTATTCATTATTTTCCAAGTGACCAACTGGTGGCGTCGCTTGAGTAACTTGTTCTAGTCAGTGAAGATTTTAGGATTACCCCATCAAAGACTAGAAACAATAGTATGGGAAAGGTTGGTCCCGCTCACTAAGAGTTGCCTTCAAATGCGATATTAACGTCCGAAACGTCAGAAAGTTGTTTCACCTAATTTTTTACGGTGCTAAATCATTGATCTTTTTACTCAAGTGTTAGGTCTGGATCTCTTGGTGGATCTGTAGGACATTTTCTACCCCGTTAGAAAGACGTTAAAATTTGCTATTAATCATCATCATTCTTTATTAAAACATACCTCGATGAGATTCATGTTGCCATAGCTTGTTAACCACGACGCTCGGAAGCAAGAGTTTTAGTATCTTGTAGTAACTTTGCCTAAATTGAACRCTGAAAATTCCATAGACGATCGGGTGCAGAAGGCAGTTGATGGTCAGACTGGATAGAGCGTACAAGGCCGTCAACTCGTTTACTCTCTGGTTAAGTTGGTTTAACGTCAGTAAAACCTAAATAAATATGGCCGTATTTAGGTAGTGATGTGACGCCATTTTCTTCAACAAAACATGATAAAAGCAGGGGACGACGCTTTCCGTCTTTATTACTTTTCTTTGCAAAAGTATTATAATATTGTTAAAAAATCACAAAAATGGATTTTATGTAGTGTATAATGAACGAAAGAGTGTGTTTTACCGGGCGATAAAGATCCGAGCCGAAGGCGATTTAAAACCTAGCAAAGGTCTATGATGCGACATTAAAACTGAGACCTTTGCTAGTGTTGGGTTGTGATAAAACGCTGATGACCTTGAACATCAGTTCGTTATATCTGATATAGAACTGATTAATAAAACATCAGTGCTTTATACTATACATAAAGGCCCATCATGTGACCCAATAGTTCGATGCTCATTGGACTAATAGCTCATGAATTATTAATGAGTTCTAGAAATTAGAAGATTATTTTAACGAACATGGCCTACGAGGATACAACTTTATCAATGCTTTGTTGAACAAAATGGCTATGTTTATCATTACCTATGGATTCAGTTCTACACAAATAATTAGTATGCATATTACAAACTAAGGTTCTTTAGTAGAGAGGTCGTTAAGGATGATTTCTGAGATGCGCGGGCGCGTTCAAAAAGATCGCAAAATAGAAGAATTTTCGGGCTGCAATAACCTCGTTTTCATGCGCGCTGCGATAATTTTTAACGCGCTTGCAAGCACATCTCAGAAATCGTCTAAACTTTDGCGAGTAACAGCATTGAGAAATTTAAACTGCCTTTATAATGTAGTATACCACTATATTTGATATTTTAATTTAAGCAATAAACGATAGCTTGAAGTAGTTTTCTGACGAAATAAACCGCGCGGGATGGTTGGGAGAACACAAGAAAATATCTGTAAATCACAAGCCTTCAGGCGAGTGATTTACCTTTTTCAAGTGTTTCTTCCAGCCATCCCAGGCGGTTTATTTCGCCARTAAACCACTTCAAGCTATCGTTTATTTCTTTTTTATTGCCCGTTCCGAAATTCAAAAAGGGACTGGTGACTAGTCACAAACTCGAAACCGTTTGAAAAAATCAAAAAACAGACACAAGAACAAGAAAGACCATGCTAAAATTAGTAAAACTAGTTTGAGAGTATTCGGATTACATGTAATAATTAAAGAGTTTCAAGCGTTTAAAAGCGTCGAAAAAATTACAAAGAATGTATGGAGGTTTTGAGCAAAATTTGAACAAATTCCTACTCGGTGAGTATTTAACCAAATATGCTCAAACTTGACAAGAACACTTATTTTAATGTGGCCTTTCATGTGGTGAGGTTAGTTGTTTTCGATGAATGTAATATTTTTACACTCGTCCAGAACTCGTTCCCAGTCTCCTTTTGTATTTCGAAATGGCCAGTTATAGCCAGCGTCCGCCATTTAGACTCAAAAGCCGTCTTTCAAGACAGCAGGCTGGTTTACCGGTGAAATAAACCATAGCTTTTCTCGTGAAATCTGCCAATCAGCGTGCGTGTTAGAATTGAGATATAATATAAAAAAAATAATTACCGCGGTCTTTTTCATCCATAATCACATTTTAAAATGCACTTTTGAAAAACTTGCGTGTGTCATTCTCTGGTTTCATGTTTCGCGAAAAAAAGTAAACTAAATGAATGAAATGATTTCGCGGACAAGCGGCGAAATGCGTCGAAATCGCCCAGAGTTTTTAGCAAATTTACTGTCAAACATATTCCGAGCCCAGCTAGTATGAGAGTAGAGAGATGCGAGGAACTGTGGAAGTACATTTGCTAACCACAGGAAACCCAAACGCATGAGTATTGCATGTTATACTTTACGTGCACCAAACTTATCTAAATAAATACTCTAGACAAATTAAACATCCTTTAAAAAGTTCAAGGCAGCAAAAAATTAATGATAATATCATTAAGAAAGGAAATCTTGAAGACTCGAMATGTTGAAACAACGATTTGTGTTGACTAATGTCATGAGAAGAGCACGTACTTGCCACAATATAATTTTAAGGCTTATCTACTTTATTATGATAGAAACTTCGTGAGGTAAAACGACCATCTCTTTTGCTGTCAAACCTAAATTACGCAACGAAAGTGTTTGCGGAACAATAGAGTCGTCAAACTCTTGCTTGAAACATGCAATCAGTCAACCCATTTTTAAAAGTGTATTAGGGTATTTTTTTTTGCGTTTGTCGTTGCCGTTGATGTTGTTCTCAACACGATACTTTGGTTAAAAAGTGCATAGCTCAGCATGAGAATGTCTATCGATTGATGATTTGCCATTCCGTGCTGCTTTGTTAGTTCTGTGTTCCGCACTGCCCGCCGGACGCGGGCTCTTTCAAACTACTATTTTGCAATAAAGACCCCTAAAGCCTAAATACTTCGAAAATTATCTATAATTTAATAGAAATTAAATTTTTATTGTTTTTTTTTAAATTGTATTTTTACATTTTTTCTTTCTCCTTTTTCCCCTAAAGTTGTCTTTCAGTGTTACAAAATTTTGGCGCGGATTTTCATTTTCCTCAAAGGTGGAGCCTGTTCGAGAAACTTATCGGTTAAAATCGGCGATGATTACCTGAACATTTGAGCAACAGCCGAAAACGGGGCTTTTTAAACGGTGTGAAAACGAAGCGATTTGCCGATAGGATCTAAAGACTACACGTTAACATGTCGGCAATTTTCATCCGAAGTCGTTCCGTTTTAAGACAATAAAAACTTTGACCCTTTAAATATGAAAGTTATTGTTTCTAAACATGGAGTAATCAAGTATAGCAACAACGAATGGACAAAGAGCTCACTAAAATCACGAAGAAATGAAAAAGGTTGACTTAAATTTGAACAATAATCAATATTCCAAGTATGTCAGTTCAAGGTTTAGTTCCGGCAATGCGAATCATATCTGTTTGTCTTTCTTTGATAGAATTTCACCAGTTTATTGATTTACTATTCAATTTACCTTCGAGGACACAGCACTGCAGTTAATTGTCTTTATTTTTTACGTAAACGTTCATCAAAACAATCTACTTTGAAATGGGGTAAACATGAAATTGATAGTCATATTGTGACCGAAATAACTCACTGTTAATGCGTTTCTTTAAGTATTTAGGAAATTAAAGAAAAAGGACTGAATTAATAATGATAATAAAATTNCCAAACGCATGAGTATTGCATGTTATACTTTACGTGCACCAAACTTATCTAAATAAATACTCTAGACAAATTAAACATCCTTTAAATAGTTCAAGACTGCAAAAAATTAATGATAATATCATTAAGAAAGGAAATCTTGAAGACTCGAAATGTTGAAACAACGATTTGTGTTGACTAATGTCATGAGAAGAGCACGTACTTGCCACAATATAATTTTAAGGCTTATCTACTTTATTATGATAGAAACTTCGTGAGGTAAAACGACCATCTCTTTTGCTGTCAAACCTAAATTACGCAACGAAAGTGTTTGCGGAACAATAGAGTCGTCAAACTCTTGCTTGAAACATGCAATCAGTCAACCCATTTTTAAAAGTGTATTAGGGTATTTTTTTTTGCGTTTGTCGTTGCCGTTGATGTTGTTCTCAACACGATACTTTGGTTAAAAAGTGCATAGCTCAGCATGAGAATGTCTATCGATTGATGATTTGCCATTCCGTGCTGCTTTGTTAGTTCTGTGTTCCGCACTGCCCGCCGGACGCGGGCTCTTTCAAACTACTATTTTGCAATAAAGACCCCTAAAGCCTAAATACTTCGAAAATTATCTATAATTTAATAGAAATTAAATTTTTATTGTTTTTTTTTAAATTGTATTTTTACATTTTTTCTTTCTCCTTTTTCCCCTAAAGTTGTCTTTCAGTGTTACAAAATTTTGGCGCGGATTTTCATTTTCCTCAAAGGTGGAGCCTGTTCGAGAAACTTATCGGTTAAAATCGGCGATGATTACCTGAACATTTGAGCAACAGCCGAAAACGGGGCTTTTTAAACGGTGTGAAAACGAAGCGATTTGCCGATAGGATCTAAAGACTACACGTTAACATGTCGGCAATTTTCATCCGAAGTCGTTCCGTTTTAAGACAATAAAAACTTTGACCCTTTAAATATGAAAGTTATTGTTTCTAAACATGGAGTAATCAAGTATAGCAACAACGAATGGACAAAGAGCTCACTAAAATCACGAAGAAATGAAAAAGGTTGACTTAAATTTGAACAATAATCAATATTCCAAGTATGTCAGTTCAAGGTTTAGTTCCGGCAATGCGAATCATATCTGTTTGTCTTTCTTTGATAGAATTTCACCAGTTTATTGATTTACTATTCAATTTACCTTCGAGGACACAGCACTGCAGTTAATTGTCTTTATTTTTTACGTAAACGTTCATCAAAACAATCTACTTTGAAATGGGGTAAACATGAAATTGATAGTCATATTGTGACCGAAATAACTCACTGTTAATGCGTTTCTTTAAGTATTTAGGAAATTAAAGAAAAAGGACTGAATTAATATTAATAATGAAATTTAAACAGAAAAATTTTAAGCGTGCATTTTGAATCGTAGAATGGAGGGAAATGGAATGGTTAGTGAATTATTACATAACCTTCTAACATTTGAATTATTGTCAATTCTGATATAAAACTGTCCTGACAGGTGACCTTATTTCAATTATAATATACAAATTGAAAAATAGAATAAAATACACAAGCAAAAGCTCTMCTTACCATAACAGGAGCCCACGTCAAATAAAACAGTGCTCCTAAGACGAAAACAAGTTTTGTAAATGCAACTACAGATGTTCTATCTCTTCCAGTCGACTCGTTGCTCGGCGTTCGCTGCTGAAATCTTCCTTTAAAGTCCTTCAGGATTCTGATAACGAAGAAGTTGCAAAARAACACTGTAACCAAAGTCGAATAGCCTAAAATTTGCATGAAAAACGGATAAACACGTTCTGGAAGCGTTCTCGCTTTTGTGATTAGAATGCACGGACAAAACGTCAAAGGAACGCGAAGGCCATTGTTCGCAAGTYCCATTAAAGGCATACTTGAGATTAAAAGTGCAGCGASGAACAGCACAGCTATTAAAACCTTGACGCGGTAAATTTTCTTCAGAACTGCTCTTCTATAATATACAGGCATTTTAAGGGCTAGATAGCGCTCACATGACATACAAGTGACTAAAAACATAGCGTTAATCTGAAACCAAAAAATGCACACTTGATAAAGCTGACAACCGAGTCTATTCCCGACCCACTGACCAACTGACASRGTCGGAATTCCAAACAATAGCGGCCCCAAAACTGAAAGTATATCGTTGATTGCTAAAGCACCGATAAAATAGTCCGTTACTGTTCGCTTTCGAGCAGCTTTCAGCCAGAACACAGCCGTGGCAGGGAATAGATTACCAAGGAACGTCAAAATCTCAAGGACTATCGTTATAAAGCCAGAAATATCGACTTTGATGGAAGATGGGATTTCGGCACTTTTGGACCAYTGTAAGTACGAAGCATTCATTTGCTTAATTTTCCACACCAGATGAAGGGARCTGCTAAAGGAATTCAGGAACACTCGTGCGCTACAGAAAAGCAAACTGACTGATGCAGTGCAGTTGTTATGAACACTAGAGACTTCCGTTAAAACTGAATTTTACGTTGCAAATTAATACCGTTCATCTATAAAGTTGAATGGATCTAATTCGCCCACGTAATTGCTACGCATTTTAGTCGGGTGGGTGGTATTTTTAGCTTAATACTAAATAATTAGGGAAAGAAAAATATTAGAGAAAACGTAGAAAAGAAAAAAAAAGAAACAGAAAAGTGTAAAGATTTAAAAAAAGATAAAGTTGAGATTTTATTCTAAAGTTTGATAACTTGAGGATTAAAACAAAGTTCGGACATACTTTAATTTTTTCTTAAAAAAAGATAAAGTTGAGATTTTATTCTAAAGTTTGATAACTTGAGGATTAAAACAAAGTTCGGACATACTTTAATTTTTTCTTAAAAAAAGATAAAGTTGAGATTTTATTCTAAAGTTTGATAACTTGAGGATTAAAACAAAGTTCGGACATACTTTAATTTTTTC